GATCAACTTAAGTTTATGGTGGAGAGGCAAGAAGAAATTGGTTCTGAACTTAAGGCAATCATGGAATTGTTCAAGAAACCTTAGGTCTAGGATGTAGAACCGCTTGCTTGTGTCCATGTGTTTTAGTGGTGAAACTTTATCATGTGAATTTATCTTGTTTGGGGATCTTATAATGCTTTAAAATTATATATCTGAATGGTTTTATATCTATCATAATCATGTGTGTTCATAATTGTTATGCTTTATTTTTAAGTAAAACTGAGACTTGCATTATGTAGCAAAAGTTGATTAATAAATTGATTAAAGGGAAAAACTTCATTGAAAGTCAAATATTACATGAGTAAAGATATGAATGTAAAATAAACTAGTATATTTCTAGTCTCCTTTGTTTCTCCAGTCATCTTTCTCTGTATTACTTGCATTCTCCCTCCAGTATTGTTCTGCTTCTTCATCTTCTACTGAAGGATCCTCAGAAGCATCTATGTGCTTCTTTGAGCCTGAAGTCTGAGCTCTGTAGGTAGCCAATCTGGTTTGAATGCCCTTCTCTTCCTTCAGTTTCTGACTCTCATTTGATGCATCTTCTAGAAGCTGTACAAAATATTCCTTGTTTTCCAAACATCTTTCTTTTACTACTTCAGACTTCTTCAGCAATTCAAATTCTCTTGTTATATCGCGCTTCTCACTCTTGTGAGGAATACAGTTGTGAGATTTTCTCTTCATAGATATCTATTGCTTGAAGTATTTGTAAAGATCTGAATGAACCTTTAAGGACGCGTGGTTACTTTTATAGTATGCTTTATGTGTTCAGTCAAGTACATCAGTAAACCAATATTAATGATCTTGAAACACTGCATCTACTTGATTGTGACTAAAGCTTTCTTGGCCGTCTTGAGACTCTGCACTTCTGAATTTTTCTTTCCTTATCTATTCTTTATTCTGTAGTTATACCTTTTTTATGTGACAAAAGGGGGAGAAATATAGAAGTATTTAAATAAGAATTTATTTCCCCTTCAGATTCAAATGCTGCCAAAGTTAAAAGTATTATAAATTATGTGAAGGGGCAAGAAATGCAAGAAAGGGGGTTTGAATTGGGTTTCACCAAATATGATCTTTTCACGAAATTCAAACTTCAATGCTAACAAGAGAATAAAAATAAATAGACACAATTATTTTTATCCTTGTTTACTATTAACAAAGTTACTCCAGTTCATCCACCTAGGTGATTTCGCGTTAGAAAAGGACTTAATCTAATAATCTAGAAAGATTACAACCTCTAAGTGTTAGAAAACAACTTAGCTCTCTCAAGTATATAGGCTAACGAGTTAGTCACTTGAGGAATAACCACTTTGAAAAGTATTACAAATGTGTGTACAAAGAGATGCTTCTAAATAAACAGATTGCATAAGTTTAAGAACAATAACACCAAAGTGTTTTCTAGCAAGATATGAACAACAGTTCCTTGGTAATATATAAAACTATCTTAAGAATAATATCCAAGATATTTGCATCATATCAGCATGAGTTTTGTTGCTTAAAAGATTCTTTTAATACTTCTTTCATTTTCTTGTAGAGTAGCGTTCTATCTTTTGTTTGAGCATCAAACATCTTCTTTTTGAGCTTACGTCTTGGTGCTTTGCTTCCGCTTCGCACACATACTCTTGTGTTTTCTTCATCTCTTTCTATTCTTCTTTTAGATGAGCTCACATTTCTTCTCTTTGGCTCTTCTAGCTCTCAACACATCATCTCACTTTTTCTTCACTTTTCCTCTCTCTTTTTCTTTTCGCTTTTCTTTATGAATTCACAAGGAATAAGAGATGAAAATTCCTCACGAGATGATAGAATTCCTTCTTTCAGATAATTGAACAGAGATAGGGGCAGATTGATCTTGATTCTGGAGACTAAGAACAGAATGAAGAGCTTATCATCGGAAGAGAGCCATTATGTCCCCTTTTCTATAGGCCTTAGATTGGTTCCCATAATCTGGTACTAGACTTTTTCCATAGGAAAAAGAGTAGAAGGACTATCAGCAGGACCTTCGTAACCATAGATGATGTGAATATCTTTTGCAAATCTATTGTTATGTTTGTAATTTTCAACAGTATCCCCATCTTCCTTACATTTAATAGCTTGAGAGATTATTTTAGAGTTGATTATCACAAGAAAACTATAGACAACAAACAGAATTAGACAATCATCTAGCTCACACTGATAGACACGAGCATTTGCCCAGAATTCTTTCACAAGATCTGGGTAGATGGGTCCAAAAAGCATTGCAAAATATTCATTCCATTTCTGAAAATGAATATCTGAGGTAATTTGTAAAAGATTGCTTGCCTTCAGTTCATTGAAATTAACTGTGCACTCCTTTAGAACTTCTAGATCATGAATCTCTCCTTTAAAAGTTTTTGAGGACATGTTGAAGGAGAAGAACAACACTTTTGAAGAACAGAGGAATTTTACAGAACTATCTTATATAGAAGATAATTTGCAAAGATGGGAGAAAACACAACTAGCAAAAAATACATAAAGCAGATGTAAGGTTGAAGAGTGAGATGACAAGAAGGATATAAATAGAGATAATAATGAGATGAATCAATGCAATAAAGACAAGACAATTTAAGACATACAAGTTTGAGACACGCAAAGCAATTAATGGTTAACCAAGAAAATGGACTATCATCATTTCTAAAGAGAGTATCACATAGGAAACCTAAATGCAAAAAAATAGGAATAGGAAAGGGATACCAAACAGATATAAGGTATTAGGTAGCTGACAAAAGTCTAGGAAATAGTAACAGTGAAAGGAATCAATAATGACAAGAAATAAAGTGTGAATATTTATTACTTGATCTTAAGATAAAACTATCACCTATCACATCGTATCAAATGCGAGAAGTGATTTGAACAATCAATAACTTTAATTTGAATCACAACCCTTACACTATTCTGCCAACGTGTAAGTAAAGTAATCTCTTCAGTTTCCAACGGACAAAAAGCAATCTAAAAAGAACATTCTGACCTTGGATACTTCATATATATGAGAATTTCACTTTGTCAGAAACCTCGCATCTCAGAAGTGGGACGCTACGAATCAAGCATTAGAAACTTAATTTTCTATTCTAGAAGACATAAGTTCTGAGATATTCCTTTTCATTATAAACATAGAACCGAGTTCACATGTTTTGTAATGAAAACAAGTTAATTTTTCACAAGGAATTTTGAAAAGATAACAGCCATAAGAAAGGGTCGTATCAAAAAGGTTTTAAGAAATAGTTCCTTTTTGAACAAAATCTCAAAATATAATCCTAGAAAAGAATTTTTTTGAAAATTGGGTAAAAATTTAAAGACCGCAAATTCACATTATATATAATATATAAATAGTTATCGATCAAAATAAAAAATCTTTAATTTAATTGGTCTCGGCGGAATTTTAAAATTAACATAACTATATCCAACTTAAGATTGATTCTAACATAGAACATTATTTCATGTGATTCATAATGATTCATAAAATTAGCAGCAAGTTAACAACATAATTTTATATGCTAAGTACAGTAACTACAAACTAAATAAAAAAAAAAGCTTAGTTAATATAAATTGAATCATATAATTTATATAAAGTGAACATAAATTGAAGTATTGGACCTCGTATAACATAAAGTGAAACAATCAATAACAACAGTTCAACACCATAATTCATAAACCACAACCTGCAACAACAACAACCATCAACAACAATAATAATTCAACATCTTGAAGTAAAAGAATGGAAGCGAAAATAGGCGAGAAATTGATTAAAGCATACTATCAAAACCTAACATATTTTTTATATTATTTGAGGATAAAATTTATTATTTTCTTCTTCATGTTTACAACACTGTACATTTTTTTTAAAAATTTTAATAGATGATACTTTTATGTTAATTTTTATTTCTCCTAAGTATTAATTTTTTTTGGTTAATTTGGTCCTAAATTGCAACTTTATTCTTTATTTCAATTCTTGCTCTTTTTGTAATGTAGTTGAATCTAAATATTATAATATCAAAAAAATTGATGTAATGTATGCTTAATTGCATAAAAAAGGTTTTAAAAAATTATGTTTTTATTTGTGAAGAATGTTTAATTTATTGCGGTCAAAATTTCATTATCAACGAAAAAAATCGTCATTTTATTTAACGTATATTATGACATTTTGTGTGGCGGTCAATTGTATTCAAATTTGCAATGTTTTACTGCACTTTCGTTAATTTTGGCGGTTTGAACAGCCACAACAGCACTTTTTAATCGCCACAATTTTCATAATTTTTTGTAAAAGAAGACAAAATTTTGGGCCAGAGCCTGGGCACAAGCCCAATCTGGCCGGGCCTTAAAATCGTTCATGAGTAAAAGAGACACCACATATTCATCAAAAATATTAAGGTGGTAATTTATGAGTCATCTTAGGCTTAATACCCTTTTTCATCCCTTATCTTTTGGGCAGAGTTCATTTTGGTCCCTTAATTTTAAAAAGGACCATTTTGTTCCCTCAGCTTTTTAAATTGGTTCACGTTTATCCTTTTCATCCTAAATGTTCGTCAAAGTCAATTGAGATGCAATGCTGGCACACACATGTATTAGTTTTTTATGACATGGCAATGCTGGCATACACATGTATTATTTGTTGATGACATAATGTATTGTAATATATAAAAGGGATGCATTCAGATTTTTCACCCTAATGTCACACTTGTATGAAACTCACTCTAGGGATTGTTTCTAACGAACAAAGTGAACAAGGAAGACGATTCTGACGAACAAAGCGAAGAGCGCGTTCAAGCACAAAGACAAGGGATTTCTTTCTAGAATACTGGTAATGTCATCTTACTTGTTTTTAATCTTCACCCATTTCTATTTTAGGGTTCATTCTATTTTAGGGTTCGTATGTATTTGCATTTTAGGGTTTGTCATGGGTTTAGGGTTTCGTGTACCTGATTCCAAATGTTGTACTTTTTAGGTTTGTTATGGATGAATATGTTCATGTAGTTATACACCATAAGGGTTATTTAGAAGGTAATGATGAGTCAAGTTATGGGGGTTCAGTTACTGATGTGAAGTGTGATGTTGATAAGAGGAGCTATTTTGAGGTGTTAGGGATTGTTAAAGAACTGGGATATGAGGATGCTGGAACAATAATATACAAGGACCCAACATTTAGTTTGTTTACTTTGACAGCTAATAAAGGTTCCTTAGAGATAGTTGATTTATGTAAGGTACATAAGGATGTTCATTTGTATGTGAAACATTCAGTTTCTCAACCTGATTATTATGATGGACCTACTAAGGATGAGCCTGAAAACATAGTTAAGGAGGTAATTAATGTCGATGAAACTGAGGATGTCATTGGAAAATTGGTTGAAGAAGTTGTGAATGGTAAAGGAGATAGTGTAAGTGACTTGAATAAGGCTGAGGTTGGAGGCACAAATGTTGATGTTAATGGGGCTGAACTTATGAGGGAGGGTGAGGAAAGGGATGATAATGTTGATGTTAATGGGGTTGATCTTATGAGGGAGGGTGAGGAAGGGGATAATAATGTTGAGGTTAACGAGGCTGAGGTTATGAGTGAGGGTGAGGTTGGAGATAATAATGTTGAGGTTGATGGGTTGAGGATATGAGTGAGGGTAAGGTAGGAGATAATTATGTTGAGCTTGATGTGGCTGAGGATATGAGTGATAGTGATGATGGGAGCTTCCAATATGATAGTGACTTAGATGTTGTCTTTCAAGAATCAGATGAAGACAATGATGGTTTAGTGGAAGAGGTTATCACAAATTTGTTGGGTTATGACAAAGAGGCAGTAAGTAAAGGTAAAGGTGCTAGCAAAAAAGGTAATGAGGAAGGTGAAGATGAGAGTGTATGTGATAGTGAGGAATTGGAGAGTGGGTGTGAATCTGATGATGAAACTAATTGTCATAAGAAGAAGTATCATGTTTTCAAAATAGCCAAGAACATATCAGACTACAAATGGGAATTAGGAACCTATTTTGTAACAAAGAATGATTTTAAAGAGGAGATTACTTCATATGTTGTTCAGTCAGGTAAGGATTTAAGGTTCTCTAAAAATGATAAACAAAGGGTGAGAGTGATATGTAAAGAAGGGTGTGAATGAAGTTCATATTGTGGCAAGTTACCAAATGAAGATTCTTGGCAATTAAGGAAATTGGTGGATAAGTATAACTGTAGTAGATCATATAATGTGAAGCTCATAACTTCAAAGTGGTTAGGTAAAAGAATTCAAAACTCTTTGAAAGATAATATAAATTTAAAAATCAGGAACATCAAGGAAAAAGCCCAAAGGAAATGGAATGTTGGTGTAAACAAGACTAAGGTTGTTAGGGCTAGGTGTGCAACAAGAGGTTTGGTTGATGGGTCATTTCTAGAACAGTATACACGAATTTATGACTATGCACATGAAATCCTTAAAACAAATCCTGGATCAATTGTCAAGATTAATGTTTAACCTGCAAATCCTAGTCCAGACAATGCAACTGACAATAGGCCTCACTTATAAAGAATATACATATGTTACAAGGCTTGCAAAGAGAGTTCCAAATTATGTAGACCCATAATTGGGCTTGATGGCTATTTTTTGAAGGGGTTATGTGGAGGAAAAATACTGGCATCCATAGGAAGAGATCCAAATGACTAAATGATGTCAATCGACTTTGCAATTGTTGAAGGTGAAACAAAGGAAAGTTGGTCATGGTTTCTAGATCTATTGATTGATGATCTTGGAGGTAGAAAACACCTTCTAGGTTTTGGAGAAAATCTCAATTCAAGACAACCTTTAAGTGTGATAGTGTGTTGAACAACATGTCAGAGGCCTTCAATAGTGTTATTATTAAAGCAATGATATGCTTTGTTTACTCATAATGTTATGCTGATATTATGTATTGTTTTCCAGAATGACAGCTGGACATATCTTTGAGGTTAGAAACCTTGAAAATGCTGGAGATAAGTTCAGTGTCAACTTGCAAGATTTCAGTTGTACATGTAGGAAATGGCAGTTGACAGCTTTACCATGTGGGCATGCAATTGCTTCCATGAAAAGCAAAAACTTAAAGATAGAAAGCTACATACCATATTTGTACAAAAAAGGCAGATATCAGAAGGTATACATCCATGTCATATATTTTGTTAATGGTTATAACCTATGGGAAAGGACCGGCTACAATGATATGCAACCACTAGTTTTTAGAAAAATTCCAGGAAAGCCAAAAAAGAAAAGGAATTTGGAGCAAGGTGGAGTTGATGGCTCAAATCAAAAACTAAGGAGGATTGGACTCCTTATTAAATGCAGTAAGTGCAAAAAAAATTGGTCATAACAAGCTTACTTGCAAGCACCCACCAACTCAGACACAACAATCTGCTACTCAGACCCAACAATCTGCTGCTCAGACACAACCAACTCAGGTTCAGACACAATAATCACAAGTTCAGACACAACAAACTGCTACTCAGACACAACCAACTGCTGCTTAGACACAACCAACTCAGGTTCAGACACAACACTCACAGGCTCAGACACAACAATCTGCTGCTCACACCAAGGCTAAAGCAAGTGGTTCCAGAACTCCAGTCAAGAAGTTACCCATTAGGAGGCCAACTAGAGGTGTTGGTTCACCAAACCCTACAACTAGGTTAACTGCATCAAGGAATGTGGTAGGCCCTACAACTAGGCTCACTTCATCTCAAGCGAGCAAGAAGAAAAATAGATACAATATGTTGTCTTATGTCTATGTTTTGTACTATGTTTTGCTGCTACGTTTTGGTACAATGTTGTAAGCCTTATATGGCAATTTTGTTAATACTATTAGTACTATGTTTAAGTGCTATGTTTTGGTACAATGTTGTAAGCCTTAAATGGCAATTCTATTATGACTACTAGTACAATATTTTGGTACAATGTTGTAAGCCTTATATGGCAATTCTGTTAATACTATTGGTACTATGTTTAGGTCTATGTTTTGGTACAATGCTATAAGCCTTATATGGAAATTCTGTTATGACTACTGGTACTATAATGAAAGACTTATTTTTCTTATATGTTGTTGTGTTTTGGTACCAAATTATACCAATTAGGTGATAATCAAATTATATCATTTCACAACTCTATTTCGACAAACACATCATACCATTATAAACAACATTCATGTAATAAGCTTCATTGCACATTTCCATTTCATTGATCTCACAAAACAATATTTTAGAAATACAACTCATTCATTCCATTTCATTAAACTCATAATTACATTAAGAAATTGTAGATTAATACACTAAAAGCAATAAAAAATGAATTTCTCCAAAATGTCTTCCACTTCATTGTGTTATTGACAGCCCCCTCAAGTTCTTCAACTAATACTTCAGATTTAATCAATTTCTGTTGTAAGTCTTCATTCTCCTTTGCTAAGAATTCTAACCTATGTTTTAATTCTTGATGAACATGTCCCTGTCATCTTTCACTTTAGCACAAAACCAATCAAAATAATCACATCAATTACTTGTATTCTCTTGTAACATGTTACATACAACATTACTCAATGTGTAAAATTGCAATTGCAAACTTAACAACATAGATTGTACCTTATAATGTGGACATCCCCAAAACTGCTTCCTAAAATTTTGGGCGGTTTTTGCCCTTTTGAGTATAGCAAAATCACCACACCAACAGTTAGGTCTCCATTGATTTTTTGAAGATGAAGAATCAACCCTATATTCAGAACTGTAACTAACATCTCCATCATACCCATACCCCTTTAGCGATGGACCTGAACTTTTATGCGCCATTACTCTTCACAATCAATGTTTTGCAGCGTCAACAAGATTAAAGTTGAAGAAGATGAAAGCATGAACGAAAGAAGATGAAGGCATGAACAAAATAATATGAAGTCGTGATTTTACTGAAGAAGATGAAGGGAAACGGAACCCTAATACACAGAAGAAGAAGATGAAGGGAAGCGTTCCTCACTTTGATGTTTTTAGAGAAGTAGTTGTCCTACTTGGCGCTAACATGGCAGTTGATATTGTCACGTTTAACACCGTTACTGTGTTTTGTCTCAAAAGGGTAAACATGGTACATTTAATACAGTTGAGGGATTAAAATGACCCTTTTAAAAATTAAAGGATCAAAATGAACCCTAACCCAAAAATACGGGACGAAAAACCCTATTTTGCCGTCATCTTACTTATAAAGCGCTCAACCTCCACTTTTCTAAGCAATGTGAAACTTAAAACTCATATTTGTTTCTCAACAAAACTCACACTTGTTTCTCAATAATTGAGAAATAAGTGTGAGTTGTGTTGAGAAACAAGTGTGATTTATAAGTTCCACATTGTTTAGAAACGTGGAGGTTGAGCACTTTATAAGTGATAGGACCCATACATCTCTCCCCTTAAAGTTGTTGGTAAATATGTGATGTCTCTCTTACTTGTTTGGATGAGTTTTTGACATTTAGGTGAGTGTTTGACCCAATGTGAAAGATTTCCCCTCATGATGAGCCATCAGTGGTATCAGAATCTAATTTGAGTAAGGGACCAATTCCTTGTGTTGAAAGCCTTCCTAACATGGTGGTCAGGTGTCGCATCCCGTTGAAGTGTCCATTATGAGATAAGGGTGTCTCTCAGTAGCGGTACAAGCATGTAGATGAAAGAGCTTTCGCTTGAGGGGGAACATAGAGGATGGACTCACACTTGAGGGGGAGATTGTTGAGAAACAAGTGTGAGTTGTGTGGAGAAACAAGTGTGAGTTCTAAGTTCCACGTTGCTTAAGTGGGGGTTGGGCACTTTATAAGTGAGAAGACTCATACACCTATCACCTTAATGTTTTAGGTGAATATGTGGTGTCTCTCTCACTTGTTTGGGTGAGTCTTTGACCTTTAGTTGAATCTTTGATTCAATGTGTATGTTTCTCCCCTCATGATGACCCATCAGGGGATTGAGAAACACTTTTAAAAATTTTAGATTTGTGTGATTCTTATATTGAGAGTTATAGAATTTGAAAAATACATGGGTAGAAAATAGGAGATGTTCTTGGAAATTTGAAATGTTATTTTCTTGTAATTCATTTTTAATCTCATGTAACAACTCTTGAAATATAGTAAATTGATTAGTTGCTCTCTCCTTAGAGTTGATCGATTATATCAAATTAAATAAATAATTTATTTGAGCTTTGTCACTTTAATTTTTTTCTTCTTGCTCATGTGGATTTGCAACACTCTTATGTATGCACATTAATGTGGCTTGAGTTTATTTATTTTGTTTGTCATTGTTCTTTATCGCATACATCAAAGGCCTTGGTCTTGTTGAACCTTTCAATTTCACAATAAGTGGCGTCCACCGTAGAAAAAAAAGGCTTATGTTTTTAAGTGAGCATCATAAGTTCTAAATGGAATATCAGGAAGTTTTTCAAATATAATCATTTGTAGAAAGTGAAGATACAAGCAATATTAACTCAACTAAGTGGAGAAACATTGAAGGATAAAACATTTATGCATGTGTGTCTAACACAAATATAGAAGACCGAGATGATGAATTATACCATAAGTGTCATTATTTTGTCCCCCAAAAAATATTCCAAATGAAATATCGAGAAGTTTTCCGAATATAATCATATGTA